GGATTAGGGTTGGGTGGGTGCGGATGTGCAATTTACAGTTTTTTTGGCAGGGAAACTCATGTCACTGGAGCACTTGTTCCATTTCCCACATTGTCACTGGATGAAGAGAACCAGTGTGGTCTAGTGGTTTGAAAGTTGGACTAGGACACTGGGAGATCAGGGTTCAATTCACTGCTCGGCCATGGAAACCCACTGGGTGACTTTGGGCAAGTCATGCTCACAACAGCAACAATACCATGGATAGAGACCATTTGGTCTTCTGGATACTTCCAGGCTGCAGCTGCCATCAGCCATAGCCAATAGTGAAGGATAAGGATAGTCCAATAACATCTGGAAGGCTACATGTCACCCACCCCTGGAAATATTTCTGACTAGCAGGCAAACTGGTCAATCAGTCAATCACTCTGTTTATATCCCAAAACACTATCTTGCTTGACAATGCAGGAAAAGAAGGTCTCGGGAAGGAAGACATGTTTTAAAAAGGTGACCATCCATCCTATCTAAATTCTGGGCAGCACATCAAGGTTCTTGTTCTAGGCTGTGTGGAGCGTTCATCAGGAGTGCTTCTTCAGGCAGGGTTGGACAACATGTGGCCCTCCAAATAGTGTTGGACTGCAACTATATCATCCCTCACTGTTGGCTGCATTGGGCTGGGTGTGTGGGAGTTGCAGCCCAACATCTGGAGGATCACAAGTTGCCCTCCTCCACATCAGGAGCTGGAGATGCACACATCTCGCCTCATTGCTGGTGTCAGCCTGTACCAAGTCATAGCCTCCGTTCTAGGGGTGGGGGACCTCTGACCCTTCATTGCATCCTCCTCACCACCCTCACCTTTGCAGTATTCACTTCAGCAGTGTATGCCCCTCCCATAGCAGAACTATGAAAAGGTTGGATTTGGTATCAGCTGTTTGTAGGAGCCTCAGTCTTTGGGGAACTGAACAGCGATTAAACTTGAACATAGCAACATTGTGTTCCACAATCCTGCTAGCAATCAACAAGATAAGTGTTTGCTAGTATTTCAGAACCTGACTAAGGTAGATAATGACTTCTCTTTCTACATTATAGACCCCTGTCCATGGTGACCAGTCCCCTCTCAAAGTGCAATCCATACAAGTATTTCCTGCACTCTTTATAAAATCTATGTTAAAAAGCAAATACATTTGTCCATGTTTCAAATCTGAACAGCAGAGACATTCGAGTATTCAGTTCTGCTTGTTGGTCTTAATTGCCTGCAGATGACCTCTTGCAAAGTTTAGCCTAGTTTTGCAGATAATGTTTCTTGCAAAGCATTTAGGCTTGAATTTGCAGTCTGTTCTTGCAGGGTTTACAGGTATAGTAGCTGCAAAATTGTTTAGAAAGGAAGGGTTGTATGATTAAACCAACCAGAAGAAGAGGAGGTACACTTGGAAACAATACTAATAAGACACAAAAGTGGTAGGGAGAGCAGATCTAGTCTAATGCCTACTTATAGTTTAGAGTTCAGCTATTCAGCAGGCATTTTAAATAACAATATATTTTCTGGCCTGCTTGGACATGCTAGGAGATGTAGTAACCATTTCCTACCATTTGTAACTCAGAAAATCCTTGAATAAGAATAAAATCCTGTTTAATCAATACTTCCCCAGAGGTTGTTGAGCTCAAACTTCCAGAATCCCTAACCATTGGCCATGCTAGCTGCAGGTTCTGGGTTTTGTAGTCCAACAACATATAGAGCCCAGACTTTGGGAAATACTAAGAAAATTCAAACAGATCAAACAGACAGTCCTTAGGAGTTTAGAGGTCCAGGAGGCCAACGATGAAGCCAGACAGATTATCAGCAGCTATTGCATGTGTGTCAACAACCAAGATAGATAATAAAAGAATTGCCTGTCTTTTACAGCCTAAAACTTACAAAACTTTGAATATGAGAATTCTAATTTTTGAAGAGTTAATGACGCCAGCTTGTATGCTTTATTTTCTTTTTAATATTGTACTACTTACTCCTCTGTCAGTGGAATACATATTTACATTGAAGAAATGGGGGAAAAGTGTGTAAATAAATAAATGACATTTAAAATCTGCCTTGAGGAGGAAGTCTAGATTTCTAGGAGAGAGAAAAAACAACCCTGCAAATGACATATTTTGCCTCTTAGGAAAAAATTTCCAGATGTTTATTTCAAAGGTTTTTAATGCTCATTTAGTGAGTGTCCTGTCATGAGTGGTAGCCGAATCAGGTTCCATTCTAGCAAACTGAGGATTGTTGTGGATCCAGAAAACTGGAAGGCCATGAACTAACTAGTCAGCAAAGTGACATTTTATAGGCCTTTATGGTCAGAGCTACGGTAGAGATCAAATGGAAATCCATTCCTTTTAAAGCTCTGCTAATATGGGAAAAGCAGCTGTTGGGGGGAGAAATCTGGATTGAGACCTTTTTAAAACAAAACAAAACAAAACAACAAAAATGTTCTTCCCTGTACTGTTTTTCCAATTAAAGCAGATCCTTCCTTGAAAATTTACTTCACTAAGAGCACATCCAGAGTGATTAAAAAGACCAGAACATTCCAACTTTTGTTCTTGTTTTTCCCCCTGATTTTATTTTTCAGATCCATACACATTTGTTTATCAAATAATATTTTCCATCAGCTCCCAGTATGATCAGGGAGTTTTTATACCAGCTCCCCAGACCAATTTAAAATAAGAAAGAACAAGAGCAAAATCTGGGACTTTTCAGTCAGGCTGGATGTATCCTAAAAAACACATATGTGCACCATTTTTTTTGCCCTAATGAGCAAATAATAGCTTGGAGGGTGGGTTGAATTTCCTTGGGAAAACAGCATGGGAGGGAAGGGTTAATCTTACGTTTTGATTGATCTCTTCCCCAAACAAAGCTGCTCTTTGCAAACAGAGATTAGAGATGAGTTCATGTATTGCTATTTTCACATATAGTTTGTCTCTAGGTGGGGAGGGGGAGAAATACAATATAGCAAGAGTCACAGCTTTGCAGTTGAACATTCATTGTGGTGGTGGTGGTGGTGTGCCTTCAAATTGTGACTGACTTATGGCAACCCTAAGGCCATAAACTCCTATCATGGGGTTTTCTTGGCAAGTTTCTTTAGAGGGGGTTTACTATGGCCATCCTCTGAGACTGAGAGAGTGTGACTTACTCATGGACACCCAGTGAGTTTACATGGCTGAGCCAGTATTTGAACCTTGGTCTCCATAGTCACAGTTCAAGGACTTGTTCATACAGTCAAAAGAGATGGGATAATAATGGGATAATACTGCAATACTCCCATCATCATGCGATTTGGTGAAGATTTTCAGATGACATCGCGTGATGTCTGAAAATCTTCACCAAATTGCGCGATAATGATAGGAGCATTGTGCTATTATCCCGTCTCTTTAGCCATATGAAAAAGTCCCAATACTCAATTGTTGAGCAGTTCCAATTATGCTTCAGCTGCTAGTCTTGTCCCTCCATTCCAGCTTCAGACAGGTTTTCCCATGCTGGGCTCTCCCATCCATCTGCTACTACTTCTGTTTGCCTTGATGTCAGAGCATGAAGGAGGCCTGTGGCTTTCCCCTTTTTCCAGTGGAGATCTTGGAAATATGAGATGGTGGTTTCTTTCATTCCAGCTGCCTCCAGACATGAGAGGAACACTGCTGGGTGAGACACCCCTAAAGCATTTCTTTTCCACCTTCTCATTGCCATGTCACCAGCTGCTATTGCTTCTCCTTTTCCTCCTCCTAGTACCACTTGCTTGGATGGCAGGCGGAGGATCAGTAGGCAAACTGGAACTGGGACTTATTGTCCTTTCTTTTTTTACCACTGTGAATACTGTGGTAAGCTCTTGCTCCTCTCTGAGCTCCAAATTGGGGGTGAGTGGACAGCGGCAGCAGCATCTGTGCTCTTGGCCTCATCATGGAGCAAAGACCACTTCTGCAGGACGTCTTGTTAGCTTTTCCTTGTTGGAGGAGGCAGTGGCAGCAGCAGTGGTGGCCAGATGAAATGGGGACAGGCAGAGCCAGAGGGAGAGAAGCAAGACAGCTGAGCAAGCATTTCATTTGGTAGTGTGCATGACTGTCAGTCCTGTTGTGTGCCGTGCATCTGAAGAGCCTTCTGTTACTTCTCTTTTATGATCATCTGCCTGGACTGTAAAATAGAGTTGGCCTCATCAGGCTACCATAGGGGGAGAATGCATTGAAGAGGGAGACCATTTTAAGGGAGGCATGTGGCTTCTCATCCTCATTCTGACCTCAGATAACAATGCAATGAAAGCATGGCTTTATATCCCTACTAGAGCCAAGATAGATTCTTGTGGAAGCTACCACGTATCTTTTTACTTAACAGTGGGCCTGCACTTGTTAATTGGAATAATGATTCCTTTCCTTTCCCTGGGTTTAATCTTTTGGTAAGGCAAATTCAGTTGAATGTACAGGTCAGGGACAATGTCTGAAGTGGGAGGTGCAATGGGCTTCAAAGGGACAATAATCCAAGGTGACCTTTACCGATTATGGCTTGATTATGGGTCCTATGGGCCAGAATGTGAATATAAATTGTTCTGAAATCTGGCTGTAAAGCAAGCTATAGATCTAAAGAAACTATATAAAGAACCACATCAGTGCAGAACATGTGGAAGCTGTCCTAGAAATGTGACTGGACTAAAAGGGGGCCAAGTCCCCCTGCCCTTTTCATGGGTTGCCTTGCCAGATCCATCTAGCAGAATAATGTCAAAAGCTTTCTCCTAACAACTATTGTTTCTTCTGCCTTGCAAATGGCTGACTGGATTAGTCAAGGAGGCTGAAGTAGTCATCTGGCAGGTTCATCCAGGCTGTGCAGGGCCATTGCCCAAGAATTGTCCTATTCCTCCAGTGTTCAAGGCAGTGTTGAATATACCTTAGTCTAAACAGTTGGAAGCTTACATATCAAAGGATATAGCCACACTGCAGAATTAAAGCAACACTTGACAACACTTTAGCTACCATGACTCTATCCTACACTATGCTGGGACTTGTAGTTAGCCAGTGTGGTGTAGTGGTTTGAGCATTGGACTGTGACTTTGCAGACCAGGGTTCAAATCCCGGCTCAGCCATGTAAACACAGGGTGATCTTGGGCAAGTCACACTCTCTCAGCCCCAGAGGATGGCAGTGGCAAATCCCCTCTGAAGAAACCTGCCAAGAAAACCCTGTGAGAGGTTCACTTTAGGATTGTCATAAGTTGGAAATGATCTGAAGGCACAAAACAACAAGAGGCACCAGAGCTCTGTGACAGACCAGGCTGAAGGCCTCGCCAAACTGCAAATCCCAGGATTCTGTAGGATAGAGTCATGGAGGTTAAAGTGGTATCAAGCTGCTTTAATTCTGCCGTGTGGCTACATCCAAAGTTGCCTTTATGAATAGTTCCCACCTCTTGAATTGCTAGTCTAGAGGTGATGGATGGGGGGGGGGTGTTTTTGCTGTGCTTGTAAGACTTGCCATCAATACTTTGTGAAGAGTAGTGCTCAGAGCTTAGTCCTCCAGCCATACCTTAAGATGACCCTCCGGTGGGCATAGAGGACTGTGGTTGGTGTATCAGTTTTAGTTCTGTTCTCAGATGTTCCTTGCATATGAGATAAAAATATAAACTGTGCAACCATATTATTTTTGAAGTTAATGAAGAGATTGGAGGGCAGATGTAGGAAGTACTTCAATTCGATACTGGTTAGGCCCCAGCTGGTGTTTGTGTTTTGTACAGCCTGTACAGATATGGCCTCATATGAGCAATGCAAAGGAATTTGGCCTCATATGAGCAATGCAAAGGAATTTCACTCTGCTTTAGGGAATGAACATAAAATGGCACCTCAGCTTGGATGGGGTTTTATATAGCCCCAATTTGGCTTTGTCTCAGCAAACAGCGGGGATCCCCACAAAAGAATTCATCCGGCTACTTGAGTTACCTGCCTGGAAAAGCAGAAAGAAAATGACAACTGAGAAGTGTATGGGAACATGTTCAAATCTCACTATAGAGGCACACTTTTATTTTCTGAATGTAAATTGGAAAATTATCCTCTCCTTCCCTCCAAGGAGCCTATCTGTTTGTTTCCATGTTGACTGTCTGTGCTTCCTTACTGGAAGAAGGTGAGCTTGCAACAGTAATTCAACCAAGGACACAACAGGCAGCCTCTTCTATTGATGGGTAATTCTGAGTAGTAAATCATGCATGGATTGAGTAGGCAGCATCCTCTGTGGGTGGGTACTTTGTGCTCCCAGGAGGCTTGTAAGTACTGTGTTTATTTATTTTCCGTGGCAAGCTAGCATGCCAGTGCTCAGTTTGGGAATTACTGGAGTAAACAGCCTGTATTCACTTGCCATCTCTGAGTGATTGTCTTTATTCATATTTGCTGAATGGATCCTTGAATATACTTGATGTGAAAATAGTCTTGTACTGGATCAGTTGCTTTTGATGTGAACAGGCATATTTTGAATGGAGAAAACTGAAAGGAATCAATGAGCGTGGCCCATAAACACAGGTCCTGGAGGGAGTAGCAGCTCTTTCATATTCCTTTCTTGCTGCCTCCAAGACTTATTAAGGTTGTTCTGTTAGGTCCAAGAGAAAGATGTGTAATAACTATGCTGCCTGTGTCAGAGGTTGGACAGCTTCAGGCATCTGCAATCTATTTTGCTGGTCGGTGTTTTTAGGGGTGCCCTCCAAAAAACACACACACACACCAAAGCTTACCATCTGGAGGCAGGTGCAGAATGGTGACATAAGCAAGCACACATCTGGGTAAGAACTAAGGAACATAGTGCCTCTGAGCATATGCTCTGCCCAAGAAGTTGCAATCCGCATAGGCCTAACACCAGCTCACAGGTCCGTCCCCACCAAAACCAGCTCCTGGATTTTCTCCAAGCATTCTTTCTGCCAACTTAAGCAACCTAATTCTGAGGGAAAGATGTTCAGTTGTTGCTAATATTAATTGGAAGTCAGAAGCCCTTGCTGATCTACAGGTAGATTTTGATCTATCTTTGGTCAATACTTGGCCTGCAGTATTGGAGACAAGGCTGGTTGCAGACATGAAGTGACAGATGCCTATGAAGAAGTTGTGGCTACATCCAGAGGGTCTGATCCAAGACATAAGTTAATACAGCAGTTTCAGAAATAAGAAATCATTGCCACCACACCATAGAAGCACTTCATAGTTTGGATAAGCCATTTCCTGGCCTGCAGGCACACACACATTTGGAAAGGCCCTTCAGGGAGAAGTTCCTACAAAAATACAATTTAATGTAACCGTGAGCTTATCAATCTTCACATAAATGTTTGCATCAAAGAAACCATTCATATTTTGATTTTATTTCACATGAAGCAAAAAACAAAGGTTATTGTTTATTTGTTCAGCATGACAAAAATAGTTTTGTGAGTGTAAATGTAGCCCTTGTGTCACCTGCTGGATATGACTGTGAATTATAACAATCCTGTAGTGTAGCTCATTCTGAATACTTCAGATCAGAAATCATAGCCCATTGATATTATACTTCCATTTCTTGGTAGGTTTGGGCTGAAGCTGGGAGAGAGGTTCTCACAGCTCTGAAATGTAGTTTAATGTTATTATACCTCCATTGCTAGATGTGTGTGGTTGGATTATGTGGAGAGAGAATAATTTTCTACAACTCTGCATTAATGCAGGATCAATATTGCAAGTTAGAGATATATCTGAGGATGGCTTGGATTCCCAGCCAAAGAGGCCCCAAACAAAGCATTCTCCAAATCTTGATCATCTTGTCCTTCAGATTTCCTCAAAGGCCAATCAGTGTTGTGAAGATGCTTCATGCTCCATTGCCTTGCATGCAGACAGGTTGTGCTCTTATATATTCAAAAACCTAACAATAATTACTTTTCTTTGCATATGACTGAGATCCAAGTCAAAGCAGGAATGCCTGTTTTTTGCTGCTATATTTGTGTGTGCGTGTGAAGTTTGTCAAGGTGAAGTGAGAGGGATACATATTCTGCTGCCCAGTCAAAAGAGGAGTAAAGTACTGTGCTGGATTTCTTTTATTATTCCCGTGAGCAGCTTTCTCTTCTACCTTGGAAGAGAAAAAAAATTATCGAGGTTATATTGAAAAAAGAAGATAAAGATCCCTGTCTCTCTGCCCCCTCCCCTTTATTTCTGTGAGATGGAGGCTTCTGGGTCAATGAGCTCAGCACCCAGCAGGTCCTTGGATAGAACCAGGAAGCAGGGGAATCCAGTGGATTTAGGTGGTGGTGATGGTGTGTTTTGTCAAACAATCAAATGCACATATTTCTCAACCCCCACCCATCAGTTGGCAAACCATAGAAATGTTCCTGCTGGTTTAGCAAATGAATTGAGTAAAGGCAGTTAAAATGAATTGCTCTCAGTGCAGCAGTGGTAGAAGAAGAAAGCACTTAAGGACTTTATCACACAAGGCTAAAAAGGGGAATTTTAACAGGATAAAAGCATATTTGGCTGGTACTTATCACACAATGTCGAGTCCGTCCTGCTGCTGCCTTGCATGCCATTCATTACTGTAGTTCACTTTTGACGGACAAAACCCATCAATAGGCTCTCAATTTCATTGCTATTCCATTTTTGCCTTTGTGCAATAGGTCCCTTCTGCTACAGTTCCACTTCTCAGGCAGTCAAATGGTGTGAGTGGGTGTGATAATGCTGCTCTTCCTCTCAAAGCGATTGCCAACAGTAGCTGGCTTTGGAAGGGGGTTGGCAGCCTGGATCACAGGGCTTCTGTATGAATGTGCACACAGCGGCCCCATGCTTTGAGAGGGGAGCAACAATCACCGCAGCCAACATCTTCCTGAAGCTGGCTGCTATATGCACATTCACATAATGGCCAGCTTCTGGCAGGCAGCCACAATCACTTGCTCCTACCCTTCCTCCCAGATGTTGGCATTTGGCAGTGCGGAAAACAGATCTTGCAACCATGGATCGCCAAAGTGCTTTCATGGGAAAAAGCGTGATAAGAAATGATGCCAAACCAGTATGCTTCCATTCTTAAAGCATAGTTGTAGCAGGACAGCAGGCTGGTGTGATAACGTCCTAAAAATTAACAAGTGTCAGTTATTTGCAGAGATGTGGTGATAGGGAATAATCTACCACAGGGCTTTACAATATACTAGATGGCCTATGAAGTTCTCTTGAAGCTTAGAATACCATTCATGGTTGTGAAATTCCAAGCTCATGGCAGTTGTGGTTTAGCAATTGTAAGGCTCTTCTCTGTTATGCTAGACTGCAAACCCTTTGAGAGAGGGACCAGACGTTTTTGTACATTCATCTTGAAAGTGCTGTATAAATCATATTAATAAAACATAGGAACGTGGCCTGAGATTTTCCTTATTTTTTAAAAAAAAATATTGTAATTTGCAAATTCATTTACAACAAACATAATAAAATTAAACAATCAAACAACATAACAGGTGAGATGCAGTCACATGTAAAAGTTGGTCAATAGAAGGCAGAGCAAAGAATAATGTTTGTCAGATTTCATAAAAAGGGTAAAGGTATTCCCCATTGACAAGGTTGTCAAGTCATGCCTGACTTTAGGGGGTGGTGCTCATCTCCGTTACTAAGCTGAAAGCCAGCGTTGTCAGAGACTACTCTATGATTATGTGGCCAGCATGACTGCACAGAACACTGTTTACTTTCTCACTGAAGTGATACCTATGTATCTACTTGCATTTGCATGCTTTCGAACTGCTAGGTTGGCAGAAGCTGAGACTAATGACAGGAGCTCATCCCATCATGAAGCACCTGGGCCTTGAACTGCCAACCTGCTGATCTTGCAATCAACAGAGTCAGTGTCTTAATCACTTGAGCCACTGCATCAGATTTCATAGTCCAGTATTATTAGAGAGTCTGTCCTTCCAAGAGGTATAAATCCCCTAAAGGCATCAGAGCCAATCTGATCTTGGAAGCAAAGCAGGCTCTGCTCTGGTTACTTACTTGAATGGGAGACCAGCTACAATTACCAGATGCTGTAGACCATATTTCAGAGGAAGGAATTTGCAAAACCACTTCTGAGTATTTGTTGCCTAAGAAAACCCTATAAATTTAATGGGATCGCTATAAGTCGGCAGAT